GCCCTGTGATCCAGGCGTCGCGATGTTTTCGAGCCGGGCGTTTTCTTTGGTTTCTGGCCCTGGGACCCTCACATGTCGATCCGGCTCCCAATGCCGCAGAAAGATGGGATCTGGGGATCAGGTCGAAATTTTCGTTTTCGCAACGTCGGGGGATCTCAGGCCAAGTTGCCATGAGAATGTCACGTTCCAAGATTCCTCATCCGTTTTGTTCTTTCTCCCGCAGGCGCGGTTGCCCTCGCCTTCGTTCTTTCCTCTTGCACGCCGGACAACTCGCCTTTCGGTTGCCCCGAGTGGCCCCACGCTGGTGCGGACTGCCTCAGCCTCGCCGTCGACGAAAGGAAGTGCTCCTGCGCAGCACGGAAAGAAGTGCTCCTGCGCAGCGTCCAGAAGCGAGGGACGTCATATGTTCCTTGGAAGTGCTGGAACGGATCCTGAACACATCGTGTCGTGGCATCATTATCACCCCAACGCTTTCGGAGGGGGGTGGGGGCAGAGGTTCGCCATGTGAAGGGAATGGGTACCGAGGGACACGGTTCCTGAGGTTTGTGTGGCTGTCTTCGGACATTCGGGGGCCCCTGGGGCCGTCAGCAGCCGACTCGGGATGAAGAGCCGCTCTGGACCCGGGTCTTTCAGGACCCGTCACCTTCATTGGAAAGAGAGAGAGGAGGGTCCTGACCGCAGGTGTCTTCAGCCTTTTTTGCGCCATTCTTGATGGGGCTCTCTTACAAAACAACAACAAAAAACAGAAAGATCTTTGCGGAGCTCCCTGGGACACGTGAGGGGTGCCCTGGAGGCCATGGGGGCCGCCTAGGTCCAGGAACACATGGGGGTAATCCGCGAGTGGGGGTAAGACGCGATGCTTGACCGCCGCGAACGGGGGTAATCCGCGAGAGGGGCCGTCTTTTGAGGCATCGGGGTCGCTCTCAGAACGCAGGCGGCCTTCTTGAAAGGGTTCCGGAGGCCGTGCCTGATCCCCAGACCTCCGACGCAGCGATGCCTCTCTGTCCCAGTGCATGCTCCTCGACGGGTGACCTGCGAGGGGCCGCTTCGAGTCCCGGGGCCAGGGTGAAATCGACACTGGACGAGAAGCCACACCTCCGGGGAGGGCGCCGAGACCTGCGGGGCCCGCGCGTCGAAGACTCACATCGTCGGAGGCCTGCCTTGCCTCGAGGGCCCGAGTTCGGATCCCTTCTCGCCAGCCCCGGCTTTTGCAGAGCCGTGCTCGGCGCCGCTGTCGTCCTCGTTTTGCTGGCTCCTCACTCGGCGCTCGAATTTGTTCCAGACCTTCGAGATCGCACAGCTTCACCAGGCGGGCCCTCGGAGCCCTCGACACGTCATGCAGGGGACAGATCTTCCCCACCCAGCAGTCTTGGGCTGCTTCAGGAGGGGAAAACACACACACAGGCACAAGTAAAAACGGCGACTGCCAGGAAAATGTGGGAGAACATGGGAAGTGTGGGGGGAGCACGACAACCCAGCAAGGATAGGTTCATCTAGGGCATCCCGGGATGTGTGTCTATTTCTGTGTGTCTCCTTGGGCCCCCCTGTCTTGCCAGGCCTCGAGAAACAGTCGCGGCGATCCCTGCGTGTTCTGCCTCGCCCCGCCCTGCGCGCCGCGGCCGGCGGGCCCACGAGAGTCCAGAGAGTCCAGCGGCTCGGCGGCGAGCGATGGGGGGAAGCGAGGAGGAGAAGGCCTCGCGCCTTCTCAGAAGAAGGAGAAGGATTCGGCGGCGAACGAGGGGAAGGACTCGGCGGCGAGGGAGGCGGGAAAGTGATGAGGAGAAGGAGAAGGGGACGCGAGGGGGAAGTGAGAAGGAGAGGGCCCTCTCAGAAGGCGGCGGGACCTCTCAGAAGCCCTCGCGCCTCCTGAGAAGTGTCCTGTGTCTTCGGGGGAAGCTTCGAGAATCTCATCTCAGAAGGCCTGGGGACGTCTGGGCCTCCTGGGAAGGCCCGCCCCCTTCTCGCTCCCCCCCCCCCCCGGCGCTCGCCGCCAGAGGATGAGGGGAAGGATGGAGGAGGATAGAGGGGCGGAAGGATGGAGAAGGAGGGGGAGGGGGAGGAGAGGAGGAGGAGGAGGAGGAGGAGGATGGAGGAGGAGGAGGACGGAGGAGGAGGAGGAGGAGGAGGAGGAGGAGGAGGAGGAACAGGCTCCGCTCAGCCGCTGACATTCCGCCGCAGCAGGGAGAAGCCACGGCGGAGCGCCGGCCAGGGGTCGCGCCGTCCACAGCTTGTCCAGAGCAGACATCCGATGTGTCCACGGCACCACTGGGTCCACTCCTCCCTCCCTCCTCCTCCTCCTCCTCCTACCTCTCCTCCTCTCCTCTTCCTCCTCTTAATTATTCTTCCTCGCGCCCTGGATCGCCATCCCGCGCCAGAGGAGACATCCGGTGTCCACGTCCCGGTGTCCATTGGGTATCCACATCACGAAAACGCCAACAGCAGAGGTCAAACGCAGACACCGAGCACACATAGCCAGCACTCAGAGCGATACGACACACGAATCACACTTGCGCCACATCGCGAAACTCAACTCTGAGCGCACATGAATAAGCATAGGCATCAAGAACGTACATCAAGAACAGGCTTCAATCACATCTGGGTTCTTCTTAAATCTGGCCTTTTACATTTTTAAGATGCAATCGGCGTGTTGAAAATATTGATTTTAGCGTTTTTGGGGCCCAGCAAGAAAATCAGCCTGGCGAAAGAAACAACTGTATGCAGGCGTGGGGACCGTCGCTGTATGAACCGCATTCGGTGGGGCTCTCTATAGGGCCACGAAACGTGTGGTGTGTTTGCCAAAATGAGTGCGGCGGCCGCATGCGAGCCCTGGCATATGAGCCTTCGGTGGAGCTCCCTATGGGGCCACGAAGCGTGCGAGGGGTGTGCCAAAATGGGTGCGGTGGCCGCATGCGAGCGCTGGCATGTGGGCCTCCGGTGGAGCTCCCTATGGGCCTTCGAAATGTGTGAGGGGTGTGCCAACATGGGTGCTGTGGGCACACGCGAGCGCTGGCATCTTGTCCTTCGGTGGAGCTCCCTGTGGGGCCACGAAGCGTGCGAGGGGTGTGCCAAAATGGGTGCGGTGGGCGCATGCGAGCGCTGGTATCTGGGCCTTCGGTGAAGCTCTCTATGGGCCTTCGACATGTGTGAGGGGTGTGCCAACATGGGTGCTGTGGGCACACGCGAGCGCTGGCATGTGGGCCTCCGGTGGAGCTCCCTGCTTCGGTGGAGCTCCCTGTGAGGCCACGGAACGTATGAGGGGTGTGCCAAAATGGGCGCGGTGGGCGCATGCGAGCGCTGGTATCTGGGCCTTCGGTGGAGCTCTCTATGGGGCCACGAAGCGTGTGATGGGGTCTGCCAACATGGGTGCGGTGGGCGCATGCGGGCGCTGGCATTTGGGCCTTCGGTGGGCCTCCTCCTGGGGCCACGAAACGTGTACAGTGTTTGCCAACATGGTTGCGGTGGCCGCATGCGAGCGCTGGCATGTGAGGCTTTGGTTGGAGCTCCCCATCGGACCACGCAGCGTGTGAGGGGTGTGCCAATTTCGGGTGCCGCGGCCGCATGCGAGCGCTGTCATCTGGGCCTTCGGTGGAGCTCCCTGTCGGGCCACGAAGCGTGTGATGGGGTGTGCCAAAGTGGGGGGGGTGACGGGAGCAGGGAGGAGGGGGAGGAGGAGGAGCAGAAGGAGGAGGATACGCGGGGATTGCCTTGTCCAACACAAGGGCCCAACACCACAGGAATGGGGGGCCTCAAACGCTGAAACAACGATTCATGTTTTGCGTTTTCGGCTACGTTCCTTTCAACGTTTACAGATCAGTTGCTTGCATTGTTTAACATTGCCGTGACCACCTATGCTGGCGGTCCCGATGGCCGATTGCTCCTTCTGGGGCCATCGGACCTCCGGGCCTTTTTCGGGCCGACGTTAGACCTGTGCTAGAGGGTTCTTTAGGTGTGTTAAGCCTTGAGAGTGAGAACGGCGGCAGGAACAGAAAAGCGGTAGCGAAGACAGCAGGGAAGACAAGGAACAGGTTTCGACCAGAAAGCAACACATGCTAAAACATGATGGTCCACAGCGAAGGGCCTAAACACGCTAAAATCACTAAGCTAAAAACGCTAAAACAGCGTCTCGTGTTTTTTTGCGTTTTTAGCGTGTCAGGAGCCCAGAATGGAGAACTGCAAAACAGCAAACACGCCCAGGGCGCTTTAAACCAGTTGGATAACATGCAAACGCGAACTATCAAGAACAAGCATCAATGGCATCCACCAAAACCATACACCAACAATCAACATACTCGCGTACACCAAGATCACACGCCCAAAACGCTTCAACACATTAATACCATGCCAACAGCAACTACACCTATAGCAGAGGCCAATCTCATGCACCGAAACATTCTCATGGCATTGGTCTGGGATTCCACATTCGTTGCAATACGAAGTCTCAGGCGACATCCTCATTTTGACAAGACAGCGCCCTTTATCCGCGGAAATGTTGGCCCTTGTTCAGGCGAGTGCGCGCGGCACCAAGGCGAGCGTCCCATGGTGAAAGCGATTCGGCTTCCATCTGTCTAACTGCTCGAAGAGTTCAATACAAGTGCGCGCGGCGCTAAGGTGAGAGCTTCATTCTTAGAACGGTTCGCCTTGCATTGTTGTAGCTATCGGAATGTTCCTAACTTACTGGTCGTACGTAAGCGGTGAAGGAATTTCAAGCGAAACGCCAGGCCCGCCCAAGCGACACGCCTGGCGGTGCAACAGGGGGGGGGGTCCGTTGCGAGGAGGAGGGATGGATGCAGAGTGGAGGAGACGGAGAGGACCAGCAGAGGGAGGAGGGGGGGAGGAGGCGTGAGGAGGAGGAGGCTGCCTCTGGGACCCTTGACGCCTCTGCCGAGCTGCTCCGGCGCCCCTGCCCCTGGCCCCGCACGCCGGCAGGCCAGGGACGGGGCCAGCACGATCGCGCCTCCCTGGCTGCCCGCTGTGGGCTCCCGCCGCCTCCCCGGCCCCAGGCGGCAGCAGGAGCCCGAGCAGACGCAGCCGGCACGCCCCCGCGCGCGTGCCCGCCCGCCTCCGCCTCCGCGCGCGGGCTGCTACGGCCCGCTTCGCGCTGCCTCTGCCCCTCCCGTCGGCGAGGGGGAGTGGGAGGAAGAGGAGGCGGAGGAGGAGGAGGAGGGGGAGGGG